TGGACCAGGACTTTTTATCTGTCCTCTGACCCCTGGATGGGCCAACATGAAGGATAGAAGATGGGATACTGCAATGAGGAACACAGCTGGGAGAAACACAAAACAGAAAGAGAGAAACAGCACTTTTGCCTTCATGTTCCTATTTTAAAAAGGCAGAAAGCACCTGGCTACGAAATCAAACCTTTTCAAGTGGGAGCAGATGATGGATTAAACCAGTGTCTGGAGTTCTGGCCCTTCATGGCACGAACTACAATTTCTCCTTTCCCTGACAAAGGCATGCACATTACACATCCCCACTTCCCTCTCTGCTTTGCCTGCTGTTTCCATGAGAAAGCCTGTTCGTACACCTGGCTCTTTTCCTGAACATTTCATCCTACTGTGCCCCTGCTCTATGTGTTCCTAGGCCAGATGGGGACTCAAATAACTTCTTGTTTCCAGCTAGGAACAATTTGGTTCTCCCACAGCAGTCACAGCCACCTGCTGGGTTACATCCTCCCCAAAGGCAAGCATTTTCCTCTTCCTCTGGTTGCCCCCTCCCTAATACATGACTTTGGAGTAAAGACTGTGCCCCTCACTGCTCACCCACACATTTTCTGCTGTTTCTTCACCAAAGTTTGGAAAAGCATTGCCATGGCTACTTCATTCATCTTTTTTTCCTCTGCCCTAAAGTTTTCACAACTGCTAAAATGCCATCTTGATGCAATCCAGAGTCTACCCCTCCCCTGGACCCTCTCCACCACCACCACCTTCCCTCCTCAGCCCCCTCTGACCCCACCAGTCTCTTCTAGAGGTGCTCTGCTGCATTTTCAGCCCTCAGCCCTTGGAGGAGATGGTTTTTTGCCCTTCAGAGAAATGACCTGTAGTCTGTCACCCCCCCACAGAGAGCAGGGAGCTCCCTCTGTGCCACTCCACAGCAAATTGTAGTGTTTGCTACGGGGCTTGCTGCACAGTTCTTCCCCCAAAAGATTTATAGCTGGGAAAACAAGAACACACCTGGATTCCTGCAGGGCCTGGAAAGAGAACAGGCAGCCACAGACCCAGAGCAACAAGCTCCATTCTTAAACATTTGAATGAGGCAACACAGTCTCCCCTTGGTCACAAATTTGGGACTGTGTTTGTCCCACACCTACCACCATGGGATCCTTCAAGTGTGGTGACAAAGGGCAAGGAAAACCAAGGACATCCCTGAAGCACTGTGGTCACTCAGCAGCTGCCTATGATGTCCTGAACAATGCAGATATGCAGGAGAACAGCATTTTTTGGCTTTGTTTGGAAACAAGATGTAACTGAAGGGCAGAGGCAGTAATAAGAAAAAGAGGAGAAAGAAAGCATCATTTGATGCAAAATCTGGTGCTATCCTCAGGCTCTCTCAGGGTAAAAAGGGCTTTTTCAAAGTTGCTCAGGTGAGGCAAGGAACAAGAGTGAGACAAGAAAGATGAGTGAGAAGCCACCTGGAGTTCTGGCACCAAAGGAAGAAGCCAGTAGTAATTCTCTGAAGCTTTTCTCCCTGCAAACTTACTGCCTGCTCCTGACTGCTGTCAGACAGGAGTTCCTGCTGCTGGGAAGTTAACATCCTCTGTTTGACCTTTTTTGCTGTTTTATGAGATGAGGACAATCTCCAGAGGGAACGGTGAAACACAGGGAACAGCAGACAGAAATGTCTCTTAAAAGCAGCTGATAACATCCCTGAGAGGAAGCACAGGGCTAAAGCTCCCTTGGACACTGAAGGTGCTGCCTGGACTGCAGAATGCAGAGTCACAGGAGGCAGAGCTGGGATTCAGACACAACGCAGACAGCTGCACTGCATTTCTATTTCTCAGTTTCATTTTGAAACAAGCAGCAACCAAGCACATAAACTGCAATTTAAGATGGGGAGGGAGCAATCAGAAAGCAAGAAGACTGGGCTGTGTTACAAAAGGAGGAGCAGGAGGACACAGAAAATTCCCTGGTTGCACAATCAGAGGCAGCAGTCAGTCAGCAGCTGAAATCCTGCGCTGCATTTTGATGGCAGCAGGCGGAGGCGGCTGTGGGAGGGAGACAGAAAATCAGGGCTCAGCGAGGGGCAGCAGTGCCAAGGTCCAGCTTAAGGAACCAGCCCGGTTAAATTGGAGCATGGGGGCTGCTGCTGGAGCCGGCCATCTCGGCAGGATGGACAAGAAAATACGAGCAGGGGAAGCAAGTGCTTCCCAGCCAATCTAAGAGCAGTTTCATGAGCAGAGACAGCTGCTTGCAAATGGGAATACTGCTGGAAAATGGCTTGCTCCAGCTGCAGAACAGAGAAAGGCAAGGAAAGATGGAGAAAGAGAAACACTGATCAACTCTAGGACAGCAGTCAAAATTAAAATGCCTTTCATTTCAAGCAATGGAAAGTTAGTTGGCTTCTTTACGCTTTCTAATTAACTTCCAGGTTCTGTGGGCTGCAGGGTATTCCCAAAGCATCTGTTCAGCAAGGTTCATGAGGCACAGGAGGCTCTTACAAGAATCAGATCCTACCTGTGTTTTCTCCAGTGTGAAATGAGAGCAATGCTTGTGCAGTCAGTGAGTTTGTTACTTACTGACCCCAGAAAGAGTGAGATAAGGAACTCAGAGAGTTCCTTATGAGTGGGTTCACTGATGGCACAGACATCTTCAATACAAGATGCAAGGATTATAGAGCATCACCCTTCAGAGCACACACTCCCAGTGCAGGAGGGTGCCAAATGCATCCTGCTCTGTCTTCTGCTGCTGGATAGGAGACCCTCTGAAGCCCCTGAGAGTGACTGGACTTTCCTGAGGATCAGTGGCAATTCTCTTGCTAAAAGCAAAGCAGGCTGCTGTTCCCAGGGCCAGATCAGTCTCAGTTGGTGTCCATGGACCACCATCCCTGTTCTGGGCTACAGAGACACACGGGTGGTATCTTTCTCTAGAGAAAAACAAGACTAACTGATGAAATCCATAAGTGGTGTCTAAATATGACTAGAAACCAGTCTTTGCATCAAACCAGGTAATCTGGACCTCCACTCAGCCCATAGCCTGGCTGTATCCAGTGCAGCACAGCAGGAGAGCCAGCCACAGCAGCATCCATTCTCCTTCCAGAGCACCAGAACAGGCCTGCTACAGACACAGACCCAGCCAGGCACCAGAGGAGCCCCTAGAGCCACCTAGCCAGGGCTGGAGCTGAATGGCCAAAGTCCTGGAGCTGCAGCAGCCTGGCTCAGAGGTCCTTGTGTGCAGCCAAAGCGTGTGGCCAGCACGGCTCCTGGCACTGGCTGCAGGAGCAGAGCAGGTGAATGGCACAGAGGGTGAAAGCCACGCTGCTCCAGCACCCACTCTGCAAACAGGTCCTGCACAGTGGGGCAGCGACCTGTGGGGCAGCCCAGAGTGCTCCCTCTCAGCCCTGCACAGGCTCAGCACCCTGTGTCAGACCCTGCACGGGCTCAGCACGGGTCACATCGACTGACACCAGCACAGGCAGACACCCTGAGTCCACGAGTGTCTCCCAGCAGTTCCTGCCATCATGCCACATTGTAATGTGGTGGGATTGCATCCCACCTGCAGCCTGTGAGGGGCCAGGTACCTGCTGTCCAGCCTGGGCACCAGAACCTTCCTCTAGCCCTGCCCAGGAGCGGTGGGGCAGAGATACAGCACAGGGCTCTTCAGCCTCTGCAAGGACCACGTCGCAACCGTGAATCCAGAAAAGCTGGGCTGTGCAGAGCTGCAAAGGTCCAAGGTTCAGCCTCTTGTATCAGCAGCTGTCAAAGAGTTAAAAGTAGGGCAATTGCATTTCCACTGGCATGAGATGAAAGCCCTGATTGGTAGTGATTATTTTAAAAGCAATGTTGATTTAGGAAGACACAGATCAGGTGTTATGAAACCCTCATGTGTTCTGCCTGCATTTGTTCACAAATATGGCCACAGATCCCAAGAGTTTAGCACATGCAGAAACTGTGCTGTCTCCCTGCCTCACCTCCTAAAGGAACAAATTTTTATGAAACCTCAGGGGCAAGAAGAACAAAAAGTGCACTCCCAGGCACATCTTTTAACTCTGCAGCCCCCAAGTCAATGCACTGGGGTCACTCCTCTGCAGGAGGAGAGGACTCGTGCTGGCAGTAGCTGAAATGCCTGCAGCCTGTTCCACTCCTTGGCTGCTGTACCTATTATCAACCAGTCATCTCTGCCCTTCATCCCTGTCCCTGTCCTGCTCATTATTGTCTCTCTTCTCAATCTTTCTGCTGCCTGAGTACTTATCTATCACTCTCTCCTTTCTCTCTGCTGCCACAACCTTCAGTACCAATCACCGATCCTTCAGGCACCTCTTTGCTCTCAGCTTCCTCTGCAGCATCTGAGCCTGTCCTTTCCTTTTCCAGAGGAACCATTGAAAGAAAAACCTCTTCCCTGGGTTGTTCCAGACTGATTATTTGCTCCTTATTTTCCATCTCTCTCTTGCTTTTCTCAGTGCTGGGGAGCTGCTGTCCCTGCAGATGTGCTGGCCCGCTCTGCAGAGCACGGCTGGCTGCGGGAGGAGCGGAGTCACCGGCACTCCCAGGGTGACACACACACCAGCCACATCTGCTCAACTCACAAACACCCAACTCACCTGAAGCCAGAGCAGGTCTCCCCCAGGCAAGCCCCTCCCGTCCTATCCTTCCCCGTCCCACTGGAGTCCAGGCAGGGAATCCACTGAGTGCCAAAGAGATACAGCAAGAGTTAAGGCAGAGACTCCTCTCTCCTCCTCCTGTCCCACCCCTTCCAGCAGCTCCCCCCACCAAATTACCACCCAGCTCATGTGTGGGTGGTGGGACGGAGGCAAGGGAGGTGCATCAGGGCAGAACTTTCTCCCCTGTTCCCTTACAACATGCACCTCTCCAGACCTTGAACTGTGGCCCTGACAAGAAACAAGATGAGAAAGCAGCCACAGGCGGGCAGGGTAAAGGCCCAGAGTTTGTAAATATCAACTGCAGCAGTCAGGGAGTAACTCCATGTCCTCTTGACCTCTGCAGGGCAGGAACTCTCCCCTTGCAGACCCCACAGCATGGCCCAGGCTGGCTGCCACATATTCCCACCCTTCTGGGGCTCCACCACTTGAGTGGGATAGGGACATCCCTCAGTGTCATCCTACAGACATGCAGAATGAATCTCCACATCAAACCTTCTGTGGCCAGGCTCAAGCCTCACCAACACCAGCAGGTAGCTGGAGGAAGAGGCAGAGCGTGGGTGAAGAAGGAACATTGGCTCTGGGGTCACACAGCTGCCTCTGTGGCTTTGCTCTGGCAGCTTTCAGTGTATCCATCTCAGCCTTGAAGGGCTTTTCCAGAGCTGCTCATGACCAGCACCAGAAGCAGGCATTCCAGTTACACTATTTTTCCCAAGATACTTCAGCTCAGTTTTTCTCTTTTTTTAATGCTATCACTCTTTTGTCTTTTGCTTTGTCTGATAATGTGCCTGCCAAATGCCTAGCTGGCATCCACATCAGCTGGGACAGGCTCCATCTTCTGCCTTTTAGGGGCTGTTTCCCAAGTCCTGAGAGACTGCAGGGTGAAGAGCAGGTGCTGGCTCTGTGCTGCCTCTGACCCTGCTGGTGGAGGACAGTGCCACTGCCTGTGCTGTCACAGAGCTCTGGTGTGACCCAGCACAACCGAGGAAAAGGTGCAATAGAGGTTATCCAGATATGAAAAGGGGATTGAGATAAGCCTAGGTAAGCAGAGCTGACCTAAAAACTTGATTTATCCATACTGAAGTGTTTCACAGGAACATCGCAGGGGTTTTGCAAAGCTGTAGATGGGATATGACCTGTGACATTAGGGTAAAACAGGAAGAAAGTCAACCTAAATTAAAACTTCATTCAGCAATGTGTGAGAATCATTCTCCAGGATGGGAAAAAAGGCTATTTCTGTTTGCCAGCCCAGAGGGTATCAGAAGTTACACTCGGGCTTCAGAGTTTCCCACCAGGCTATAATTCACAGGGTTTTTTAATCCTGCTATGGGCAAGCTCACATTTATATCACTACACCAGCTTCCATGTGAGGGATTTCAGTGGTGTGATGACCCAGATTGAAAAGCAAAAACCCCATTGTGAGCAGCTCAGCTGGCAGAGCAGGCACTGTGCTCAGTCCCACCCCAGAAGAGAGCAAGGCAAGGGGTGATGCACTCCCTGACCACCAGCTGCCACCTCTGCTGGCAGAGTCAGCCCCGGGCAGGCACTCTGTGCAGGCAGGACAGGGCTGCCAAAGGATGTGACAATCTGACTACAGGTCACCCCACCATGTGGGCTCCTCCTCCACAAGTGTGGGTGAGGTTGCTGTGAAACACTCATCCTCAAAAGAGAAGCACTGCTTGCAATAAATGCTGGAAATGTCTGAAGCAGCCCCTCCCCAGGCAGCATGAGCCCCTCCCAGCCCTGGAACCCCCTGTTGTGAGCAGCTCACACACCAGCAGCCCTCACATCTCCACAGCTGCCCACGGTGCATCCTGAGGAATCTCTGCACCCAAGGGTGCATGGCAGAACTGGGAAAGCACTGCTGTCCAACCACACAGGTGCCCACTCCCTCTGCACTCCCAGCTCAGAGCCAGCTGCACAGCTTTCCATCCCCTCTCATGAGCAGAGAGGGAAAACTTTCTTTGAAAGGCCCAGATTCCCTCCAACTGCCCGGCTCAGGGCAGCTGGAGACCAGGACTCAGCCTCTGCCCCAAAGGATGGCTGACCCCAACCTCAGATCTGCCCTGAGCCTCCTCCCAAGTGTCCTCCTCCCCACCCTGCTCACCACCTGCCAGCTGGCAGGGCCCTCTTGCCTCTCCTTTTGCCATTGCTTTTCTCAGAAGACATGTGGGCTTTTCCCACCACCTGGCTGTCCCCACCCTTTGCTCCCTGCCAGCCAGCTCTGACATGCCTGCTGCAGAGCCAGCCCAGGGGAGCAGCTGCCAAGCTCAGCCCACGCCAGGGCCAGCGAGCGACTCCCTGGCAGCAGCGAGTCCCTGAGCCACTCAGACACAGAGCTGCAAGCCAAAGCGAGGCAAATCTCCCCCAGCCCAGATTTTGGGAGAGGTCTGTCAGGCTGGCAGCCTGTGTGTGAATCCCAGCTGTGCTTCACAAAGAGCAGAGCCCGCAGAGGCAGTCTCTGGGACGCTTGTTGGACACGGAGGGGCTGGCAGCCCTGGCTGCCCCCTCCCTGAGCCACCTGCGGCACAAACCACCCTGCCCTCGTTTGTCCAGACCAACACCACCTTCTAATGCTTCAGCCAACAAAACAGGAGAAATGCTGATTGCCCAGTGGGCACAAGGCTGCTGCTGCTTCGGCTGAGAGCGTGCCTTGCTGACTGAACACTGTGTCTGCAGGGGATTTTCCCCTAGGCTTTGGTATAATTTATTTTTCATGTTTATGGCTAATTTCTGCTTGAGTAAGCCTGTGACTTCTGACAACGGTTTCACTGTAACTAATCACAAGTGAACATAACCAAAGCAACAAGAGCTAATGAGGCCCCACAGACCCCTGATGGGCTCCAGCAGCCACAGCACCGCTCCCGTGCTGGGCTCCCAGGGAGGAGGAGGATGCCAGGAGCCTTCATCTGTGAAAGTCCAGGCAGGCTGAGACATCCCCTGTTCCACAGCATCCCTGGTATGGGAGAGGATGAGGCAAGGGCAGATGGTTTAGGAGCCCAGAGTCAGCAATCAGGGTGGTCAGGAGGGAGGAGTGGCAAGGCTGGGGAGATATCCTTAGTCCTGCAGCCTCTGAGCTGCACAGCAGAGCTCGCTGGTGATCAGAGACCGGGAGGATCCCAGAACAAAGGCAGGCAGAGGACACATGGGAATGTGCCTGTGTGCTCCTGCTTTCCCTCCCGGCTCCCTCAGGGCAGCTGAGCCTGCTGCTGTGGGACATGTGACAGCAAACACCTCTGCTGCAAGGGCACAGGGACACAGGGGACAGGGGCAGATGGAGACACAGAGAGGCTGTGCTGCTGCTGCTGCTGCTGCTGCTGAAACTTCTTGGGAGTCACAGCTTCTCCAGTGTGCCTTTGTGCTGCCCCACGCACGCTTCCCTGGGCTGGGCCATGCAGATCTCCCTCCTGCAGGCTGCTCACCACTCTGCACACAAGGGCTCAGCACCCTGCCCTGTGCCACCTGCTCATCTGCACCTGCCTGTAGGACACAACTAACAGATCATCTGGGGGTCTCTGCTGCACAGGATTACGTATCCCACGAGTTAACACGCTCATCTTGCTGTTCTCTCCATTTATGCACCGTGGCATCCAACACATCCACTCTTCTTGTCACCAAAATGTGCAACACGACTCACAATGCATCATTCTGCAACGGCCGTGGAAAACTGCCCTGTAGTTACCACTAAAGGCAACAGGAAAAAGACCTCTCAGGAATCTGTTCAAAATGCCAGGATTTGGGATGCTCTCCATGACAGGAGATGTATCCTGTCCATGGGTCCGTCCCTGAGATCTGAAGTCTCTCCCCTGCCCTATGTGAGCATCTCCATCCATGGACAAGGAAAGCTGAGATTTCTCCCCAGGCACCACTGACACAAAAAGGGAAAAGCAGAGCCTGGTTTTCATGGATGGATGGAAAATAAAAAACCAAAACTCAAAAACACGAAACCAAAAAAACCCGAATCAAAACCAACCAACCAAAACCAAAAAACCACCACAAAACAATCCATGGAAGAAAGGCTCTTTAATCTCATGTCCATTATCCAGTAAGGAATGGGTTGGATTCTCAGGCTGATTTTTAAGTTTTGGATTCTGAAGGTGGGAAATACCCAATGACCACACACCCCTTGTCTAAGGGGAGATCAGCATCTCCTGAGCTGCCAAAAGTATGGTGCAAATTCCACAGACTGCAAGGCAGATCTTGGATGCAATGGAAATCCCTCTCACTGTATTCCAAATCATAAACAATCACTATATGCTGAAATTGCCATATTCTGAATTTCAGCAAAAATTCCTTCTAAGCATGGGGTCTTAAAAGTGCTGTGAAAAAAAATGTCATGTCTGGAAATTTCAAATAAATTAATTTCAAATTTAGTCTTTCAGCCTTTTCAGTGAGCAATATAGAATATGCTTGATTCATGTTTCAAGCCAGGTGTCATCAAGTCTAATACTTTGCTTAAAGTCATGTCAGAAATAAGACACTTATTTAAGAGTATTCAGCAAAACCTTTGGTTCTCTTGTTATCTGACCTACCTAGCTCATCCAAAGCTTTACAGCAACTGGGTCATGCAAGAACACAGGCTTGGGAAATTTCCTGGCTCATATATAACCAGATCAATAAACCACATGCCCAATTCACTGGACGCCAGTCTATTTTGAACCAAAGCAAGTCACAAGCCTTTCAGCAAAATCACACTTTGCCTACATGCAGCCAAGCAGACTTTGACACTAGCCAGATTTTAGAGATAGCTGCAGACAATTGCTGCTTTCTATTATGGTTAAAATATCTTCCCAGTGGCACAAGCCTCCTTTAGATATTACTGGAAAATGAAAGTATAACTCTGTTTAAGGTTAAAATTACATGAATACAAATAGCTGTTGCTAGAACTTCTGTGTTCACTCGGTTCTCTCATTTCTAGAAGTAATTTTTACCAGGCAGTTCCATATCTAAGTGGCAGAGCAACTGCTTGGCTCTGTCTTCCCTCACGTTGTGGGTCTCTTCCAAAGGGGCTGTCCCTGGATTTTCAGATCTCTACTGCCCTCAGCTCGTGCA